CAACAATACATGTGTATTTACAAAAACTTCACGCATAAGGACTACATGCATAGCTTGCACCGCCCACTCAAAGGCCTGAGAATCCATGTTTTTGACGAAAAAAAAATGCCAGTTACAGATCTCCCACCAAAGTTTAGGCACTGTGTGGGTCGTGCTTTTGATTGACCTCGCGCAACCGGCTGGGACCGAGTCATAATGATGTGGGTTGTCAGGACAAGGCCAGCATATAGATGGGTAAAAGCCGCTGTGGAAGATTTGGAAAACCATTCACTATTTTGCACATGCATCGTTATAAAAAAAAAATACTCTGGTGATAATTAATTTTCATGACAGTTTTGGGACAAAACAAGCACATCACTCATTTGCATTTTCATTGCATAAAGAACCCTTTAAGGAAAATGTAAGCCACAAAATTCAGTTACTATATAGACGTGTTATTCATCATGTTTTCACATTGTACTGCAGACTCCTTTTGGTAAAAAAACGAGTGCATTTACACGTAATTAAGAACAAAATATGAGCTTGCATGTGAAAAGTGCGGTTCCTGGCTTAACAAGGAAAAGCTTTTTGTCTTTTATCAATCCCAAAATTAGGATTCATAACTGATAACACAAGTCTCGCTTTCCAAAGAAAGAAATAGCCTAACTTAATGATTTCTGTTTATCCATCCACCGATCTCTGTGCATGGCACACCAGGATCGAAATAAAAGCCATCACCCATTGCCAGCACAGAGCTCCAGGATCGGGAAAAGGTAGCTGCTATTGGCATCTTCTTTTTTTCTTCAAAAATTCGGAAAAGAAGTCTGTTTGGAAAAATGATGAAATTAAAAATAAAGTGCATATGCATGATTTCAACAGTAATCCGTATATGGATTGGACTGGACTAAATAATAAACAACCTTTTCCTTGGCTGACTGACGCAACAACTGTTCCAAACTTTTCACACGCATGCTTGACATGACTAAAAAAGCAAAGCAATTATTCACACCAGATAGAGTTATCTTGTGTTGACATAAAGAAATACATGTTTACATGAATACAACACACTTAAGGATGGACGTTTGATACATTAGTTGTTTCTTTTTACAACCAAGCAAATTATAAATGTGTAAGTTCCAATGGCCTTTATGTTACAAAGTACATGTACATGTACTTGTACATGTACATACATGTGTGAACATGCATTTTTACAACTCGCGTAGTTTAAGCTCCGCCCACTCCAAGGCCTGAGAAAGATGTCATTGATAAAAATGCCAGTTGCAGGTCTCCCGTCAAAGTTGAGGCACTGTGTTGGTCGTGTCTTTGATTGGCCTCGCGCAACCGGCTGGGATTTATGACCGACGGAGTCATAATTATGTGGGTTGTCAGAGGAAGGCCAGCATAGATAGGTAAAAACCGCTGTGGAAGATTTGGAAAACCATTCACCATTTTGCAAATGCATTTTCATCCCATAAAGAACCCTTTTAGGAAAATGTAAGCCACAAAATTCAGTAAAAATAGACGTGTTATTCACCATGTTTTCACATTGTACTGCAGACTCTTTTGTTAAAAAAACGAGAGCATATACATGTATTTAAGAACAAAGTATGAGCTTGCATGTGAATAGTGCGGAACTATTATTTTCCTTGGTTATCAAAGAATAGCTTTTTGTCTTTCATCAATCCCAAAATTAGGATTCATTACTGATTACACAAGTTTCGCTTTCAAAAGAAGAAAAAAAACCAGCTTCACTTAACATGATTTCTGTTTATCCATCCACCAATCTCTGTGCATGGAACACCAAGATCGAAATAAGCCATCACCCATTGTCACCCATTTTCTTCAAAAATTCGGAAAAAAAGTCTGTTTGGAAAAATGATGAAATGAAAAAAAAAAAAGTGCAAATGCATGATTTCAACAGTAATCAGTATATGGATTGGACTTGACTAAATAATGAACAACATTTTCCTTGGCTGACTGACGCAACAACTGTTCCAAACTTTTCACACGCATGCAATTGACATGACTACAACAAGAGCAAAGCAATTATTCACACCAGATAGAGTTATCTTGTGTTGACATAAAGAAATACATGTTAACATGAATACAGCACACTTAAGGATGGACAATTCAGCCTTCCTATCTCACAGGCGTATATCGAGAGTTTACAGAATGTTTGATACATTAGTTGTTTCCTTTTACAACCAGTTGGAAAACCATTCACTATTTTGCAAATGCACTCTCATCGCATAAAGAACCCTTTTAGGAAAATGTAAGCCACAAAATTAAGTAACTGTATAGACGTGTTATTCACCATGTTTTCACATTGTACTGCAGACTCCTTTTGTAAAAAACGAGTGCATTTACACGTAATTAAGAACAAAATATGAGCTTGCATGTGAATAGTGCGGTTCCTGCCTTAACAAGGAATAGCTTTTTGTCTTTTATCAATCCCAAAATTAGGATCCATTACTGATTACACAAGTTTCGCTTTCAAAAGAAGAAAAAAAACAGCTTCACTTAGTATGATTTCTGTTTATCCACCCACCAATCTCTGTGCATGGAACACCAGGAACGAACTAAAAGCCATCAACCAATGCCAGCACAGAGCTCCGGGATCGGGAAAAAACTAGCTGCTATTTGTATCTTTTTTGGGAAGGGGGCAAACATTTGGAAAAAGAAGTCTTCTTTTAATAATTTTGCAATAAAAAAAAATGCTTATGCATGATTTCATAAGTAATCAGTATCTGGATTGGACTGGACTAAATTAAAAAAAAAAGCATAATCCTTTGCTTACTGACGCAACATGACTACAACAAGAGAAAATCAATTATTCACACCAGATATAGTTCCCTTGTGTTGTCATAAAGAAATATGTAACTGATGACGGTGCTTTGTTATAGCGCCCTCAAGCGACCAGAAGTTTTACCGCGCTTAAGTTCATCATGCGTTGTGTCTCAGAATTACAGTCATTAAATTCAGTCAAATTTGAAGACACAGAGGCATGGAGGTAATACAGATTGTACCTTTTATGATTGTTTAAATTTTTAATAGAAATATACGATAGTTATTAATTTATTGTAAGGCCAAACTTTGCTATAAGAAATGAAACTTAAACACAATAATCGTACATGTATTATAGATCCTGCCCAATGTTTATTGTAGCGATGTACATGTACATGTGATTCCATAGGTTTACAAGTTCAATTGATTAATTATTCGAGTGCTGATCAAGAATTATTTGACTAATTTCTTTCTATAAATTCTGTGATTGTCTAAGGACAGGATACATGTTGCAATTCGTCGCTGACACATGTTCATTCATATTGTTCATGTCAATCTGCCATACCACATGTGTGTTTACAAGTGTACTGTACATGTAAGTTAAGGTCAGCCTGATTATGTGACTGGTTCAAACTAGGGTTTCTCATTAGGGTTTTCTCATGTACTTAACTGCGGTTCCTTTTGCGTTTTTCAATATACTTTTCACGGAGTGAGTTATAACATGGAGGGAATTATAACATGGAGTGAGTTATCATAACATGGAGGATTAAAGGAGCACCTAAAATTGAACACTTGACACTTCAGTGAAATACATGTACTGTGACTAGTGTGAGTCTACAAGTTACTTGGGATCTGAGATACGACAGTGAAAACTCCTCCACATTATATTTGATGCTCCAACTCCCTGCTGAATATACTGCGACCTCAAGATGACTGAGGAGACAGCAAGGGAGTCAAAGCAAACGGAGAAGGGAATCCAGTGGCATGCGGACGTGAAGCGGAAGGAATTCCGAAGCAGCTTGACATCATGGCGGAGAAATGCGAACAAATTGAGAACTCTGCTTTGCGATGAAGAGGAAACTTCAAATGACAAGCTACAAAGAGACGCGTCACAACAGGCTATGGACAAAGCCATCGAAATACAAGAAACTCTTGCCAAGTTTCTGTCGACATCGAATCTGCCCGATGACAGCACCGAACAGCTTGAGAATGCTGAAATAGAACATGCCGCTCTAATGAGACTAACCCATGAGCGGATACTTGCGTTGAGAGGAGATATTGCTTCATCAGCTGCTTCCCTCAAATCTAGTTCAGCCGGAAGCAAATGTCAACAATGGGCAGGGTAAGCCTTAAGGATTTTTTTTTGTATAGCAAAACTGCTATGCAAATTTTGATTTGCATAGCAGTTTACCAATTTTGCATAGCAGTTTTGTTATACTCAAATTTAGCCTAGGCTTTGCAATTACTATTTACCTGTCAGTGTCAGACTCAGACTGTACAAATTACAAAGCAATAAAGAAGTAACTTACGTTAAGCTGTGAACTTAATGACTCATCAGTTGTCTGTTTATTTCAGGAGCTGCATGCTTGCTGGAATAACTTTCGAGTGAAAAAGCAAGTTAACAAATTATAACAATTTACTTCAGACTCAGGCCCTGAGCCTCAGCACAACAGTAGCATTTTATTAATCATTATCTCTTAGTGGTCTTTGTCTCTTTGATTCTTCCTCTTCTCTAGACTCTAATGATCTATCTAAATCATTCCAAGTTTCCAACTCTGAGTAATAGGTAAGGTAACCTAAGACTGCAAATCTACAAGACTGAGACTACAAGTTGAAGTTGCAAATAATTGAATTAAGTCAACTTTCAATCATAACACAACAAGATCCAACAACTATTAATAACTCTATGTCAACTTTGGACTAAATTATGAATAATATGATCATTGATCAAACAACAATTGAGTCAGTCACCAGGACTGAACACTGAACAGTTACAGAAGGGAGTATGAGTGATTGAGTGTTGATCATATCACTACTTATAAAGTCTCTTAATCCTAATCCATCAGTTCAGTTAGCATCACTGTGGCAATTTCCATAATGCCATTTCAATTTGACAATTTAAAGCTAAGACTAAAAGGTGATACTGATACTGAAGCGATTATATGATCTATCAGCTTATTCTTGTGTGTCTATAATCATGACATCTCTGCCTGTGCTTGGACCTGGTTGTTGTTCTGCTAATCTGCTTGACCTGGGCGCCGACTGCATCTATTGAGGAAACAGGTTGCCGCACTTGATGAATCAAAAATATGCTCTGGGGGGCCACTCAGTGTGATACGCATAAGTTCATCTAGGGTGTCAGTTGCCAGCTTGTTTCTGTAATCACTCTTAACCCTGTTCATGGCAGAGAAGCCCCGCTCCACGATGGCATTCGATGCTGCAAAAATTAAATAAAGGATCAAATCAAATTTCATGTGATGCCCAGCTCAGTGTCATTGTGTTTAACAGTTGCAAGTTCTTTATAACTTGTAATGAAGTTTGAAATTTTGAGTCATTTGATTGATAGGCTAGTAACAAATTATGAAGAAATATAAAATTGTTTACCTGGCACAAGGAGCATCACTCTAATCATATGACAGAGGTTTGGGTAAGTCGTGTGGTAGCTCACAAGTAGCCTTCTCCATATCTCACTGCTGCAGTTCAGGTGTTGCAAACTGGATTTCCACAGTAGTTTCCAGCTTTCCCATTCATGGAAGAGTTCATCAGTGTTGCAACCTATAGGATTGTGGTAGGTGGGTAAGGGTAAGAAACAAGAAGGATAGAAGGTATTTTTTAAAGCTACAAATGCAAATAAACAATACTGTTAGTGTTATTAATCATTTTGTAATTTTTGTTTAATAAGTCATTTACAAATAAATAATTACCTTGTTGGGTGACCAGTTGTCCAAAGTGATCAATGAAAGACTGCACCAAAGGTCTTCCAAATCTAACAAGAGCCTCACGATCAGTTGGCCATGCTCGAGTATCTAGAATCTTGAGACTTGCATACTGTGCCTCTTCGTGACATTTGCCAAGCCTTATGTGGACGCTTTTTTTCACGTTAGTGATTAGAGGTGTTGATATGGTGTCAACGTCGGATGCTGATAGTGCTTGACCTTTGAGTTGAACATCCTTGAAGCTCACTCCACTGTCCGTTTCCATAAGATCATGCAGAATCTTTTGGAAATCTGCCACCATATAGTCTTTGGTCAGAGCTGGTCTCTTTGCTGCTGGCTCATCATCACTCTCATTCAGACTTCGACCATCTTCATCCACATCTGTAGAGATAACATCCTCATGATCCTCAGGTTCTAGCAGAGCTCTGAGAGCAGAGAGGAGATCATTGATCCTTTGGTAGAAGGTTGTCAGGTAGGTCAGGGCCACATTAAAGTGTGTAATATCCTTCTGCAGAGCAAGTGACAGGTTTGCCAGGGGAGTGATCAATGACTTAAGCAACAGCAAATGAAATACAAAACGAACAGACTTCAGCTTGTTGAGATAGCCCTTCAGTTTCGCCATCTCTGCAGCTGGCTCATTACTGGCTACTTCATTCTCAAGAGAGGCAATTATCACAGCATATGACTTGATGAGGGCTGCCACTGCTCTGCTCTTGAAATGTACCCATCTGGTTCCATTAGCTTTCACTGGCTTCAGCAAATCTTCTTTCATAATTTTGGCCAACTGAAATAAAAACAAAATCTGATTAAATTACATGTATGTCAATTTATGTGCAATACGGACCCTGTGCAAACAGAAACAGTGCAATAATGTTATTCATTTCATTTTCATACCAAGTGTGCAATATAATAGTTAAATAATAATAAAAAAATGAGTATGTTGTAATAAATTTACTACATGTAGATGTTAAGACAAATCACCAAAGTTCAACCTCACCTCTTCAAGTTTTCCCATACGTTTTGGACTTCTTGAGTAGAGGGCATACAAGGAGTTCAACATAGTAATGACTTCTTCCATACTGGTTCCCTTAAAAGCATCCTTGGCAGCTAATTCCAGGCGGTGGTTCATGCAATGGATACCTAAGAGGTCTGGATACTCTTGACGAAGGCGGGTGACAACACCTGAGTTGCGTCCAAAGTTCACTGATGCTCCATCACTGACAAAGGCAACTAAACCATGATTGGATAAGTTAAAGTGCCCCATGACAGACTTGATGGCTGCAACAATGCTGCTGGCATTTGCAGATGCAAGATGTTCAAGCTTCAGGAACTTCACGGTTGGTACTCCCTCATGGATATACAGAATGTACATCAGCTCCCGCTCTGTTGTCGAAACGTCAGTACTTCCATCAATGAAGATGGTTAAGTACTTGGGGGTGTCTTTGAGATCATTCATCAAATCTTCTTTCAGGACCTACATGAGAAAAGAATAAAGTGAACATCATAATATGACATCATATAATATTTGAATTAATTAAAAAATGACTTTTCTCGGGCCTACAAAATTTTGTTCGAAATATTTCCAAGTATGTTAAGAAAATGTCAATTTGGCCAGGGGGACCCTAGGGGCATCATGGGCATGAGCCCGGTATAAACTATCAATTTGCATGAAATAATATTTTGAATTAATTAAAAAATGACTTTTCTCGGGCCTACAAAATTTTGTTTGAAATATTTTCTAAGTATTTTAAGAAAATGAAAATTTGGCCAGGGGGACCCTATGGGCGTGAGCCCGTTAACTATCAATTTGCATGAATTAAATAATTTATTTAATTCATTCCAAATTAACATTAAAAAAACAAAGAGTCACAAGACAGTCTATAAAATAAAATACATTAAACAAGGATGATAATAAATTTAGGCATTATGGCATACCGGTAGCGGTAGTAGAATTAATTGTATTTGATGTTAAAAGTAGATTTTTTTTTTTAGGTTTATTTATTTAAAAAAAAAAAATTCTAAAGAGAAACGCAAAACCATACCTCAGCTACACAAGATGCAAATTCTGCGCACTTCTTTTCAGTGTGGTAGCTTGTCCCCAGTTCCACTCCATGGCGAATCTCAAGTTTGCAGATGTATGGAAAGAGTGTGAAGGGTTTTTCCGTCTTACAAACAACATATGCAATGTCTATAAGCTTCTCGATTCTCATTTGTTCTGCCTCCTCCCCCTTTCTGATGCTTTTGCCAATTGTTGTCTGCTTGAAAAAATCATCAATTGACGCTGGTGCCGACTTGAACCCAGCGGCTCTCTGGTGCATTTCGCTATGCAAATGTTTGAATGCGGCGTCTTTCTTCATTGTTGTCACCCCATTTATGAATGCATTGCTGAAATTTCGGCAATATTTCAACCTCTCTTTAAATTCATCACAGAGCGTACAAGACATCTTGGTCACGAAATTCCCATTTCTTTCAAATCGTAGCCATTCCTGGCCCGGGTCTAGATCCGCCTGCCAATTATTGCCAGTATTTGCCTTGATACCGGTAGTTTTCGTACTAGTAGCCATGTTTTCATCACTATGCTACACAGCGCACATGTAACGACAACGCAGCTGGGATTTTGACGTTTCAGTTCCCACAAATCCCTCGTGCGTATCAAGTGATTTACTTGAAGGGGTAAACCCGTTTTCCGTGTCGGCAAAATGTTTAAGATAAACCGACAAATATCTAAAGAATAGTGATGAGAATGTTTAAACTATGTAAATTAATCATCATTTATGAAATAAACCCATTAGGAATTCAAAACAAATGTTTTTTAACCATTAAAATACTCGCTAATAGTCGCTGGACTCTCATAATGAATGACCCTCACCCCTAATCATCAGAATGAAACAGTCCATTTAGTGAGGTCACACTAGGGTCAAAGTATTATCTACGAGCGGATTCATTGGCTCATTCTGTGACCTTTACCAACATGTACAATGTACTGCATACACACACACACGTACACGTACGTACGCGATCGAGCAGTATCATATCAGCAGTCACTGAATCGAAAATGGTTTGTTTACAAACTAAACACGTACAGATTTTTTACAGCTGAACAAAATTGACGTTCTTTTTCAGTATTTAAGCTTAACTAAATCAAAACATGATGAATGTTTACCATGTCCGATAGTTGTGGAATTCAGTGGACCGAAATTTGGTGGCAAGTACACTTTGTGTCAACTTTTCATGATCAAAATGTTGTATAGCAGTTTTGCAATGCACTTTAAAAATTGTGTCGCAGTCGGCCTCGAATGTGTCGCAAATTGCGATGCGATACCGCTTATTGCGGACCCTGACAATGGGTGAACTTACCTGCACATGGTGAAGAACCCCCCGTCGAGAATGACTTTGCAGAGACAGCAAATCAGGAAATGGACTCACCGAATCCAACTCCTGAGAATGAATCCAGCCCTTCACCCCCAAACACCGACCCACTGACCACCCCTACAGGGAACGGACAGTTCACATCGCCAACTTGCGACATGAAGTCACCGACAGATGACGCAATTAAAACACTAACAGGGAGCCTGCTGGAGCAATTGAAAATGAACCGATTGCCCCCACCTGAACCAATCATCTTCTCCGGTGATCCCATGCAGTACATCACATGGAAACAAGGCTACGACATTCTCATCGAGCACCGTGGTGTACACGTACCCCCAGCCGAACGTTTCTTCTACCTGAAGAAATATCTCAAGGGCGAGGCACTAGACCTGGTGCGTGGCTTCTCCCTTGTCAACGATGAATCCGCATACAAAGAAGCGAAGAGGGCTCTTGACAAACGATACGGTGATCCCTTCATAGTGTCCAATGCATTTCGAGACAAGCTGGACTCGTGGCCGACTGTGGCCCCCAAAGATGCATTCGGACTGAGACGACTATCGGACTTCCTCCGCCAGTGCCAAACAGCCATGGAGAAGAACGGTAACCTCAACCATCTCAATGACGAGAGAAAAAACAGAAAGATTTTTGCCAAACTACCAGATTGGTTGATCGGGAGGTGGGGACGAACCGTTGCCAACTGGAAGGAGAAGAATGGAAGCTACCCACCCTTTCAAACATTTGCCTCCTTTGTAGAAAAGGAAGCTAACATCGCCTGTGATCCTGTAACGTCTGTCCACAGTCTAAGGGAAGAACGGTATGACAGGAAGAAATCACATGCTGGTGCAAGGTCATTGTCAACTAGCGTGTCAACTGATAGACCCCCAAGCAGCAACCTGAGTACAAGGCCCGTCCCCAAACCTGTGTGCTGTGCAAGAAATTGCATAACCTGGACAACTGTGAAGTGTTTGCAGCAAAGACCCTTCAAGATCGAAAGGTCTACATCAAAGAAAGGGGTCTCTGCTTTGGATGTCTTCAACCAGGCCACAGATCAAAGGATTGCCGCAGAAGAAGTGTGTGTGCAGTTTGCATGAAGCGACATCCAACCCTGCTGCATGGTGACAGGTACCAGACCGACCAACCAACCGTGAACTTAGAGAAACCTGAGAACCACACCTCACTAAGTTCACACACTACTAGTGTTTGCCATCTCAACTCAAACAAGGACATTGCGAAAAGTACCATGGTAGTCCCAGTTTGGTTGTCACATCGATCAGCACCTGACGAGAGGATGGTCTATGCTCTTCTCGATACCGAATCAGATACATCGTTCATCCTTGAGTCCACCAAGACTGCGATGGGACTGAAAGGTGTCAAGGTAAACCTCTTCCACTCTACAATGACCAGCAAAGACGAGAGAATCCCCAGTGAGAGAATCGAAGGACTTGCTGTTCGTGCTCACAACAGCGATAAGAAGATCCCCCTCCCTGCGACCTACTCAAGAAACATCATGCCTGCGAACAGAAGTCACATCCCTAATCCTGATATGGCAAGCTCACATGCACACCTCTCGCGACTACAGGAGCACCTGCTCCCAGTACAGCCATGTGAGATCGGTCTTCTTATTGGATATGACTGCACGAAAGCCTTGGCCCCACGGCAAGTTATCCCACCAGTTGATGACGGGCCTTATGGTCTGAAAACAGACTTGGGATGGAGCATTGTTGGTGTGATGAAGCCTGATGAGTACGAGAGCTGTGTAGACGACAAGATCGGCTTCAGTCATCGTTTGACAGCCTACGAACTTCCAGCAGACCTGACCCACAACTGCGAAACTACAAAGAGTCAAGTGGTGTTCACCCAAGGTATAACAGCAAAGGAAGAAATAAGCCCCCTTCAAGTTACACGCTTGCTGGAAGCTGACTCTTGTGAAGCAAGGGATGACAACTCATCATTTTCACAGAATGATGTCCGGTTTCTGAGCATTATGAAGGAGACCATCCACCTCACAGAAGATGGCCACTATGAGACAGCATTGCCTTTCAAGAACTGTGAACCCAACCTACCAAACAACAAGTTCATGGCGAGCAAGAGACTTGGACACCTTAGAAGCAAATTTGAACGAGATAGAGAGTACCAGCAGAAGTATTCCAAGCTCATGGACGCACTCATTGCTGACGGGTATGCTGAGCCAGTGCCCTACATCGTTCACCGTGATAGTCCCGCTTGGTACATCCCACATCATGGAGTCCAGCAACCTAACAAGCTGAGAGTTGTTTTTGACTGCAGTGCGCAGTACAAGGACGAATCGCTCAACTCTCCCCTGCTTACAGGACCAGATCTGACAAATAAACTGGTAGGAGTGCTCTGCATATTCAGACAAGAAAAGATCTCATTCATGTGTGATGTTCAGGAGATGTTTCACCAGTTCAGGGTCATTAACAACCATAGAGATTACTTGAGGTTCCTTTGGTGGCCGAGGGGAAACTATCATCAACCGCCAGGTGAATTCCGCATGAAGGTACATCTGTTTGGGGCAGGGTCTTCCCCCGGATGTTCCAACTTCGCACTCAAGCAACTAGCCAGAGATCATGTGTCAGAGTTCGGCAGAGAAGTGACAGATTTTATACTTCATGACTTCTATGTTGATGATGGGCTAAGGTCTGTCAAGTCCGAGAAGGAAGCCATTAACATGATATCCGGAACCAGACAACTCTGTAAGAAGGGAGGTCTCCATCTACACAAATTTGTCTCAAATTCGAGGGAGGTGCTCAACTCAGTACCTGCTGAGGATCGAGCAAAGGGCATCAGAGAGGTCAATCTCCTTCATGACGATCTTCCAATAGAGAGAGCACTGGGAGTGCAATGGTGCATCGAGTCAGACTCATTCAACTTCAGGATCACGCTTCAAGACAAACCCCTTACCAGAAGAGGCATACTATCCACCGTCATGTCAGTCTACGACCCGCTGGGCTTACTAGCACCTGTCGTGCTGGTTGGCAAAGAAATCCTGCAGGAACTGTGTAGAGAGTCTGCCGGGTGGGATGACCCACTTACAGAGGCGCTGAGGGCGAGATGGGAACGGTGGAGAAATTACATGGGAAATTTGCAGTCACTGTCTATAAAGAGATGCTACAAACCTGCTGACTTTGGTGAGGTACAGACGGCCCAGCTGCATCACTTCTCGGATGCCAGCACCTGTGGTTACGGCCAGTGTTCCTACTTGAGACTTACCAATTCCGAGGAAAGAGTACACTGCACGTTAGTGATGGGGAAGTCTAGAGTTGCACCACTGAAGCCTGTGACAATACCTCGCCTCGAATTGACTGCCGCCGTAGTCTCCGTCAGAGTCAGCTCATTCCTGAGGAAGGAACTTAATCTCAACTACGAGGAGTTCTTTTGGACAGATAGTAGTGTGGTTTTGGGATACATTGGCAACGATTCAAAGCGTTTCCACGTTTTCGTCGCCAACAGAATCAGGCTGATCAGGGATGTATCCTCTCCTTCACAATGGCGTCATGTTGACACCAAGGATAATCCGGCTGATGCAGCATCCCGGGGCTTGACAGTACGCCAACTCATTGAGACACCGCTGTGGCTTGCCGGACCAGAAATGCTGTGGAGGGAGAAAATTCCAAGGTACGATGATCAGTCGAGCTTCAAGGTGAGACTAGACGACCCAGAGGTGAAGAAGAGTCAAGCTCTTGCGACCAGTACCAACCAACCTGTCTTCGAGTTTGACCGCTTGAACCGCTTCTCCAACTGGTACCATGCAAAAAGAGCAGTCGCAAATTGTCTGCGCTTCGTCTCTCGCCTGAAGAGACGTTGTGTGGTGAAGCATCGTCCACCAGTTGTAAATGCAGCCCCAGTACCACCTGTTGAAAAAAACAGTCACGGCTGAAGATCTGCATCGGGCAGAGTTGCTGATACTTAAGCTACTGCAGAAGGAGTCCTTTGCTGATGAGATCTCTATCCTCGAATCCTTGAGAAATGATGGTGAAATCGAAAGACAAGCCAGACGCCGTGTGAAGAAGGCTAGCCGTCTCCAACGCTTGGATCCCTTTCTTGATAAAGATGGAATGCTGAGAGTGGGAGGCCGAATAAGAAGATCCGACGAGTCCTTTGAAACCAAACACCCAGCAATTCTACCCCAGAGGCATCATCTGACGGAGTTGGTGATCAGCCATTATCAACAGCAGACCGCCCACCAAGGACGAGGGATGACGCTCAACTTGCTGAGAGCAAGCGGCATTTGGGTAATAGGAGGTAATGGCGCAGTCTCCAGAATTATCAGAGGGTGCATAACCTGCCACAGACTTCGCAGCTCAGCACAGACACAGAAGATGGCAGATCTGCCCCATGATAGGATCACACCAGCACCACCTGATCAAGGAGGGTAGAAAGGAGATGAAAAGGTACGGCCTTCTTTTCACTTGCATGGCCTCAAGAGCTGTACATATTGAGACTTTGGGTTCATTGAGTACTGACGCCTTCATCAATGGCCTCCGAAGGTTTCTGGCTTTGCGTGGTCCAGTACGCCAACTTCGATCGGACAGAGGAACAAATTTCATTGGAGCAGAAAATGAGTTTGAGAAAGCTTGGGCCAAGGTTGATCACCAGAAGGTTAGAGAATTCCTGTTGAGAGATGGATGCGACTACGTGCAGTTCAACTTCAATGTTCCTTCGGCGAGCCACATGGGCGGGGCATGGGAACGACTCATTCGGTCCACCCGCAGCATCCTACAAACCTTGATGCATCAGTCTGGCCTTCAGCTCGATGATGAGTCTCTGCGTACATTCCTGTATGAGGCAACAGCTATCATCAACAGCAGACCATTGACAGTTGATCCCTTGAGCGACCCCACCAGTCCAGAACCCTTGACCCCTAATCACTTACTAACCATGAAATCAAAGGTTCTTCTTCCCCCTCCAGGAAACTTCCAGCGAGAGGACTTGTATTCGACAAAGCGATGGAGGAGGGTGCAACATCTCATCAATGAGTTCTGGACGCGTTGGTGGAGAGAGTTTCTGCAGAGTCTGCAAGCTCGCCAAAAGTGGACCCAACCCCGGAGAGAAGCTTGCATCGGCGATGTTGTGATCATGAAGGATGAGGACACCCCACGGAATCATTGGTTACTGGCACGGATCGAAGAAGTCTACCCGTCTGATGACAGGCACGTCCGTAAGGTGAAACTGGTAATGGGTGACACACAGATCGACAACCAGGGAAAGCGCATCAAGCCTCTCCGATTTCTGGAGCGCCCAATCCACAAACTGGTTCTTATTCTCCCAGCAGCGCCTTAAAGAGACTAAGGTATGTCCATTCAGGAGACTGAGGAAATCCCCACCGGATGAGCCATGACTGTTAAATTTAAGACATTAGATTAAATAGGTGATTTGAAACCGATAATTGACCCAATTTGATGATGTTTGAAACTGTGTTAACTCGAGAATTGTGTGAAATTTTATTGTTCAGATGATTCGAGTTGAAAACATGATTCTTTGGAATTCAGCATTGATTTTCTGTTAAAGGTTGTTTGGAGTTTGTTGATCTACACTTAGACAGGGCAAAATTTAACACCGGAGTGCCTGCAGCAGTTGTGTACAATACAGTAGACACTAAGTGATTTGATTTTAAATTCCCCCTTTTTGATGTTTGGAATTATGCAGTTTGTAATTTAACCTTTCATTGTTAATGGTGTTCGACTTTACATGTGTTTGTTTACTCCAAGTTGTATTTCTGCATTAGGAATGCCTCCCCTGCTCCCAGTTAAGATTTCAGACTTGAGACTACCATAATGTGTAAGGTTGGCCGAAATTGTTATTTGCTGTACTTGAGGTAAATTAGTGTCCTAATTTAGGGGAGCCATGTAACTGATGACGGTGCTTCGTTATAGCGCCCTCAAGCGACCAGAAGTTTTACCGCGCTTAAGTTCATCATGCGTTGTGTCTCAGAATTACAGTCATTAAATTCAGTCAAATTTGAAGACACAGAGGCATGGAGGTAATACAAATTGTACCTTTTATGATTGTTTTAATTTATAATAGAAATAGATGATAGTTTTTAATTCATTGTAAGGCCAAACTTTGCTAAAAAATGCAACTTAAACACAATAATCGTACATGTATTATAGATCCTGCCCAATGTTTATTGTAGCGATGTACATTATTTGACTAATTTCTTTCTATAAATTCTGTGATTGTCTAAGGACAGGATACATGTTGCAATTCGTCGCTGACACGTTCATTCATATTGTTCATGTCAATCTGCCATACCACATGTGTGTTTACAAGTGTACTGTACATGTAAGTTAAGGTCAGCCTGATAATGTGACTGGTTCAAACTAGGGTTTCTCATTAGGGTTTTCTCATGTACTTAACTGCGGTTCCTTTTGTGTTTTTCAATATAGTTTTCACGGAGTGAGTTATAACATGAAGTGAATTATAACATGGAGTGAGTTATCATAACATGGAGGATTAAAGGAGCACCTAAAATTGAACACTTGACACTTCAGTGAAATACATGTACTGTGACTAGTGTGAGTCTTCAAGTTACTTGGGATCTGAGATACAACGACAAAATACATGTACATGTTTACATGAATACAGCACACTGAAGGATGAGCAGTTCAAATGTTCTATCTCACAAATTCTAGTTTTCAAATATAGTTGTTTCTTTGTATAACCGAGCAAATTATAAATGCGGAAGTCCCAATGGCCTTTTTGCTACAAAGTATATGTACATGTATTTTACTACGCGCGCAGTTTAGGCTCCGCCCACTCCAAAGCCTGAGAATCATGTCATTGATAAATATGCCAGTTACAGGTTTCCCGCCAAAGTTTAGACACTGTGTGGGTCGTGTTTTCTGATTTACCTCAGTTACCTCGGCAACCGCCTGCCATTTACAACTCAGAAACAGTTGTGAAACAAAAAAAAAGCCTCTCCGACATGATTTGTATTTTGTCAGGAAACTGTAGGCTACAACTAGTACAAGAGCCAGTACCAATATCGACGTGTTTTTCACACAGGTTTCTTTTGTTAAATTATGCGAATGCATAATAAAAAAAAATAATATGAGCTTGTCTGTAAACAGAACGGCCAGAACTCTTGTTTTTTCAGGGTTAACATACAACAACATTTTTTCTGTAATATATTCCAAAATTAGGAACAGAAAAGATATCAATCCCTTATTGGTTGCAAAAGTTTAGACACTGTGTGGGTCGTGTTTTCTGATTTACCAGATTTCTGATTGAACAGAAAAGATATCAATCCCTTATTGGTTGCAAAAGTCTCGATTTTAAAAGAACAATCTCTTCACATAAAATCATTTGTGTTTATACTGTGTATCCATCCATGTGCAAAATCGAACTGAAAACCATCACACATTTTAGGCACAGAGCTCCTGGATCGGAAAACTAATACTTCCTTTCTGTTATTGTTCGAGGAGATTAAAAAACTGTCTGTTTTTAATACTTTTGTTGCAACAATTTGAAAGCAACGATGTATTTCTTTCAACGGTCATCAGTATGGATTTGGCTGGGCTACAAAAAAAAACATAGTCCACGGCAATCTGATGCAACAACTGTATGTCCCTCCCTCGAAAACCATTTCCTAACTATTTACACACGTTTGACGTGACTAAAAAGAGAAAGGCATTATATTACAAAAGGTACAGTTCTCTTGTGTTGCCATAAAAACAGTAATGAATACAGCATAATTATCATCATGAAAGTAAAGTAAGAGCAGTTCATTTTTAACAACAAAACTACATAACGACAAAAATATGGTAATTCGTAATTGCGTGTGGCTTTGTAACTTTGCCGGGCCTGCAGGGCTGAGGATACAAATCTTGTATACAATAATTGGGTTTTTATTCATTAACCATCCAAATTCGTGCAAGTTTCACCGGCCTTTCTGTTGTAAATTATTTGCAAAATATTTCACTTTACGCGTACTTTAAGCTCCGCCCATTCCGAGACCGGTGTGGCACATGTCATTAGTAAAGAATGCCGCCAAAAAAAATTTGGCACTGCGTGGGTTGTGTATTTGACCTCGCGCAGCCGTCTGGGATCCATACGCGACTGAGCCGTCTGTGGTTTGAGACAATGGTTCCGTTGATTAAGTGTATATGTATTTCTAGGGAAAAATGCATGTATATACCCTGACGATTATTAATTTTCTATGACAGTTTTAGGGCATAATAAGTCTTCCGACATCGTTGGTATTTTCATCAATGAAGAACCCTTTCACTTTTCAGGAAACTGTAGAGCAAGAAAGTAGGTCTAACTATATAAAACTGTTTTTCACATAATGCAGATCTCTTTTGTTAATGTTACGATTGAAGATAATAATCAAAAACGAAATATGAGCTTGCATCAGTTGCATATGAATAGTGGGACTCTTATGGTCCGGGGTTAACATCAAACAGCCTTTTCTGCTATAACTTCCAAAAGCAACCCCCCCCCCCCCCAAAAAAAAAACATCAATGCATTACTGATTACACAAATCTGCATTTCAAAAAAAAATAATAATAAACTCGCTTCACTTTAATATGATTTCCGTTAATATTACTGTGTATCCATCCACCAATCTCTGTGCATGGCACACCGGGATCGAACTGAAAGATATCACCCATTGCCAGCACAGAGCTCCAGGATCGGGAAACCTATTGCAAACATTCGAAAAAGAAGTATGCTTATGCTCTCGAAAATTTAAAACAGTAAACTAAATGCATCATTTGTTAAAGAGAAATACTAATTGAAGAGGCAGGTTTAAAATAGAAGAGAGATACAGTGTATATAAATTACGGTCTCTTTTGAACTTCCCTTAACACGTGACTACTCCTGTAGGGAATTCCAGGAACGTGGATTTACACCCGATTTTCAATAATAGTTAAATATAGATTGTAACAGAATTTCTTGAATCATTTTCATCCTTCATTTCCAAACATTACAAGCTGATGATATGACCTTTTCCTGATACCTCTTCTCTTAAAACAAAAGGGAATGGAAACCAAAAGTAACAAGTAAATAATATCGACAAGAGTAGTGTTAGGGGCAAAAAAAAAATAAGTCGGTCTCTGGTCAGCGCGCGCGTCGACTTTAATCATGCACGTCGATTTTTTTTTTTCCAAAATGTTTCGCGGTAGCTCCAACAGCGCCCTCTATTTCCGCACCTCAATTTTTTACCAAAGAGCACCAAGGAATGGGAAATTGCACCAAGGCAAATCATCAAAAGCACCAAGGCAAATTATGGAGGACACCAATGTACATGAGGACACCAAAAAAGCAAAACAATACCGCACCTTGTCTGTACAATCCAAGCTGGAAGAAAAGAAAAAAAAGCAAAAAAAAAAAAGCCGCGTGGCCACGTCAATTCCGGAACTTTGGTCTGACCAGAGACCGAATATTTTGTTTGGCCTTATCACATCAACAAGGGCTGAAGTAGGCCTGTGCCGGTACAAAACGACGTCACCGTGCAAGGACGATCACGTTTAACGTGATCGAGGCGTAAAGGCCCAGCAGGCGCCGGATGAAAAATCACGCTGCGCTATATTGGTCAGTGGCAAACTATAGGTTCCATATGGTACAAAATATTACGATGATTCCACAAATCTATTTACGATGACATGCGTCGCAACTCACAAAAGTGAAACCGCTCTGCAGGTTTACCGAAAATGTTTAAGGTTAAATATCGGCCTAGTTGATCGGATTTAGATTTAAACATCAAATACACTGACCTTTTTATATCGTAAGTACATGTAGTGCTAGTAGGTATCTAGCATGGAACGGTACCTAAGCGAACGTTATGACCTACACACAAAAAAATTGTTGTGTCGCGCGACTCACTTTTGGACTATTTTCGTGATTCATATTAAATTTGACTCGAATTTGGAATCACCCGCGTCGCATCAGACTCACTGAAACTTAATTAGCGAGTCCAGTGGGGATTGACTCGCCTGGGATGAGTATCGTTGACTCAGTTATCCCTTGAAAATGAGTTCGGATTGACTTCAGACTCAGTGCTGTGTCCGTTTCCCGCGCCCGTGCGGGCACTCGCGGGAAACCCGTAGGCGTCGTTATCGATCCGCGTCCGCCATTGTGTGTCTTGCATCTGCGGCGCAATCAGGCAGTGGGAACCTTGCCAGGCTAGGCCTTTGTTTGTTCGATTTCAGGTATATTTTCATGCTCATATGTTGCAATTTTATTTGTGTAATTTCATACAATTTCTTGCCGACATATACGTTTGGATCTGTCCCTTTTTCGCCGTAACTTAGGCCATGTTTTACCGTGGTGAAAGTTGG